AATCATCAGCCAAAGTCAAGAAGTGTGACAATGTTATTCTACATTTTTGATAGATTAATCAGCACCTTTTTTTTCCTGCATCACTTCTTAACTACAAATTTAGTCTAAAATCTTCAGATGATGTTTTTTCACTTTCCTAATAGCAAGGCAATACGTTTCTTCTCTTCTGTCCCCCTTTCACAGATATATTACAAGCAGATGAGAGGAAGGATCCCTTAAGGAATTTGTCCATTGCATCTAGTGGGAAAACTTCCACTTAGGTATTGCTGTATGGTTAGACCTGGAGACAAGAGATCTTGGGCTATGAATGTTATTAAGCCTCAGGACAGAATGAACTGCCCTAAGATGAAGGGGAGCAGCAAAGAAAGACAATTTTAGTGTTAGAAACAGATAAGTCTCCTCAGAGGATTCCAATCTCCCTATGCTTACTGGAAAGGCAAACAGTGTACAGCTCTCTGCTGTGGGTGGCAGTGTCAGTAATGTGAATTCTAGAGCAAAGTAATTTAAGGATGTGCTGGGAGAAGTAAAAGAAAATTCTGCTTCCAATGGAAAAAAAGCTAAGAGTGATATTTAAGTGGTACTTGGGTTTTTGAGGAGATTTTAAGAATACAAATAGATGGATGTTAAATAATGCTGCTTTTGAATTAATCTGATGTGGAAAAAATGTTAGAGCTTCTTTGAATAAACAACACACAAATAATTAGCAGAAATCACTTCATTTTTCTGTCTTCAAGTTTTTCAGTTTAAGAATGTCAGAATATCTCTGACAAAATTCAGAACAGCCCAATGTTGATAGCCAGGGCTGAGGACAGGTGGAAGTGTAGCTTCAAAGCAAAAGTTGTTTGCTCTTTGATGGCAGAGCACAAAACATGAGTTCTCCAACATGAGACCAAACCCTGTAGCCCAAGTACTGTGGCTAGTTAGGAACTTCTTTTGGGAATTGAAAGTAAAATTCAACAGTAAATTAAAAAAATTCCTGGATCCTTGTCTGTAGGGGAATAAACCAAAACCTTGTTCTTTCTACTTTCTGCTTTCCTTTCCCTTCACAGAAAAGGACACTATGGATGTGTGGTGCAACGGCCAGAAAATGGAGACTGCAGTAAGTGATCCCTTCCAAAGGCTCTTCCCAGGCTATGGTTACCTAACCAAAGCTTAGCAAAATAAACCTCAGAGGGGCACATGACCTCCCTTCCACGGAGTATGAGCACAGGCTGAGACAGCCAGGGTGCTACTGCTGTTCTGAATTACCTTCACTATGTTTTGTAACTGACAGTGTTTCAGTTCAGGTGCCAAATATCTGTTTATTTAAGGGTCAGTGATGCTTTTGTTTACACTTTGTAGACAAACAAAAGAAATCTTCTGGGTTGGGTGTCCAGGGTTTTTAGGGAGAGAACTTTCAGGGGAGTAGGAAGGATTTGAGTTTGATGCAGAGTGTAGAGCAACCTCATCCAAGCCTGCTTGTGTTAGTGGTGACTGAGAGTTGAACACATGGAATCTGTTAGGACTTAGGATTTTTTTCCCTCTAGAGAAGATCCTAAGACTTAGGGCTTAAGAGTCTTATTGGAACAAATGAAATCTTTAGTCTTTCTGTCACATCTGCATCAATGTTTAGAGCAGGCTGACAGATAGAAGTCTTAATCTGTTTGGTGTCCTTTTCTATCCCAGTGGCTCTCAATATGCAAACTATGTAGGCTTCTCCATCCTTGAAGGATGTGCTTTCTCACCAGGAAGGTGTCAGTTGCTTAGTACTGCCACAAGTCAGTCCCTGGATGAGCACAAATTGTAAAATAACAGTTTTGCTATACCTGAGAGCAGGCTGAACAGATTCATAGAATCATAGAATGGTTTGGTTGGAAGGGACCTCAAAGGTCGTGTGGTTTATAACCCCCTTGCTGTGGGCAGGGACACCTTCCACTAGAGAAGGTTGCTCAGAGCTCTGTTTCTTTAGTGATCAGTGGAAGAAACCTCCTTCCCAGTGAATCAGAACTTCTGTTCCTGCTGGTTCTCAGCCTTTACTAGAATGCAGTAAAAGCACTCAGAGGTGTTCTTGCAAGCTACGAATGCAGGTTTAGTTGTCAAACTGTGTATCCATTAGAGCAGCACATGGATTGTTCTGCTGCCTCAAAGATGATGACAAAAGCACAGCCATGCCTGGCAAAAGCCACAACAGGAAATTACCTAACTGCAGCAGGAGCCTAGTATCCAAAGTACATGACTGTCCAGGGATCTCTTTCTTCATCCTGCTGTAGGAAACATCCTAAATGCTTCACTTTTTGCTGCCACTTCACTGTAGCTTTGTGTGGTGCTTCCCAGCTGCACAACACAGCTTGACAGGAAGTTGTCTTTTCTATTTTTGTTTACTGGCATGAATCAGTAACATTAATTAATAAACTGCAGCTTTACCATTTTGATTATGTGAAATTTTGATCATCATCTAATACCCACAAGTCTTACCTGGACACCTTGACAAAGCCCTGCCTGAGACTCTGGAGCTTTGTTCAGCCTTTGTGCTGTGTCTGTCCCTACAGCTGCTGTAACTGGGAACTGCAAGGAATCTTGTCATTGCAAATAGTCTGTGCACTCAAGTGTTTACTTCCTAAAACAGCAAATTAAATTCTTGTCTCCTTTCTCCCAGGGTGAATTTGTCGAAGATGGGACTGAAACTCACTTCACAGTTGCTGATCACAGCTGTTGCATCAAGGCTGTCAGTAGTGGGAAGCGAAAGGAAGGAATTATTCATACCCTTATTGTGGACAACAGAGAAATCCCAGAGGCTGTGGAGTAGCCTCTAGTTAACTGATTATTGTAGAACTAAGATCAGGAATTTTCAATTACTGTGGTAATTATTTTAATATGTACTACTTGGTACATCTAGTTTGTGCTGGGTTTATTTTCTAGTTTCTGTATATGAAATTATTCTTTTTGAGGACCAGATGGAAATAATTATATACAACCTCTTACACTACCAGTTTTTAAAAAACTATATATATGAAGAATGTATATTAATATCACTAAGTGTGGAGGACACTGGTGAACTTAAGTAGGAGTTATGTACTAGGAAAAAATCTTGCTATGATGAATGGAAGACAAATATTCAGTAGCACTGAATCCTTATGAACTACAGGTGCATATGGAGGGAGAAGAAGCATGTGCTGATCATTGGAATAAGCTGTTAAAGCTGTCTGAATAGTTATTTTTTCTATTAAACTATGAACTTTTTCATCTGCAGTTAAGCGTTACAAAGTTAATAAAATATTATTAATTAAATACATTGTTAGCAGTACTTGTGTAACAGCATTAAAGTAATAGAGTTATGAAAATGCTCTTTATTCCAAGTAGGAGTAAAATGTTACATTATGCCAAAAAAATAAACTCCTTTAGGTTTTCTGAAAACTGATGCTGGTTAGAAATTGTTGCAGCAGTTCAGAAACTCTGTACTGAGTTTTCAAAAGAAAAAATAGAAGGAAAAAGATTCCTGTCATGAAAGTCCTTTTAGAAAAATGAAATCTCTACCAGCAAGCTGAAATAAGAGCTTGTCCTTGTTCAGTGCTAACAAACCTGAAATCTACAGCTTTCTGTTTTCATGGCAGTAAGTCACGAATCGAGAAACAGGAAAGAATTGGCTACTGAATGGAATAGTTAAAACAAGAGTAGACTAATTCTGTTTTCAGACTTGCAGCATAATATCTAAGAGCAATTGTGGGATTTCTTGAGGCCAGAATTCATGTATGAGAGGCTCACACACTACACAAACCACCCTGTGCAACACCAGGCATAGCTGATCTTAAAAATAATGTAACCCCCCCACCCCAAACAAAATAGGAATATATTAATTTAAATGTTTCCTTTGCAATGGTAAAAAAAATTCCACTTGCAACTTCCATTAAGAGTTCAGAATTAGACTTCTATAATTTAGTTTCTTTTGGACTTGCAAGTGGTTCCTAGCACTGTCATTACTACCTTGGGAGTTGCAGGCGCAGTACAAGTGTCCTGGGAATTCATTAACAAATTGCTTTGAGAAGTTTTGTGAAATGCTAATTTCATCTGTGTTTAGAGTTCAGCCTGCTCTTCCTTAGCACAGTGAGTGCTCCCTTTCACATGTAAGTGAAATGCTTCTCATGTGACAACACTGCTGGTTTGTAATGGTTTTGTGGGAGTCCTTCTCCTGCCCAGGTAGTGACAGCTTTAACTGTAGGTGATGTCTGAGGCTCGGGCAGGGCTGGTACTGACAGGTGAGCTTTTATTTCTGTGTTACAGCACTGTTATAAACTGGTTAGGGGTTTCATTTAGGGCCATAACTGGTGGTTTTAAATGCTTCAGATTGGACAAATCTGGTGGTAGCTTCTTGTTTGGGGCAATAGATTTGTTTTCAGCCCAGCTAACATCAGGCATAGTTTCAGGCTTCCGTACTTGAGCAACCCCTTTTATATTGCAGTTACTGTAATAGCTCTAGGGCTTTTCCATGTCCTGGCTTACCTGTGTGAGGAGAGCTGGCTACAAGGCTGACAGTGTAATCTTTAAAAGATAGTGGTGAAGTTAGAGTAACTGAAGAGCAATTTCAAGGTGTAGCTTGAACCAGTTGTCTGCTGTAATTCTGTAGCCTTTCAAAGAGATTGAATGTCGCTAAAAATTCTGAAGCAAAAGTACACTCCAAATCCCATTCTTAAGACTATATAGAAAAACACAGGTTAACTGATAGTGACATTCATAGTTTTTATTTTGAATACATGTACCTACAGTGCTTGATAACTAATAAAACTGTAAGAGCAACTACTGTTAGTTATGACAAATGTGAGTCAATACTTCATGATTTCTATGTGTATTAATAGCATGTCCCTACGTGGGAAAGAGCTTTCACCTGCTGCATTCACCCATTTAAGTATCAGAAGGCACAACCAGGATTTTCTGGATCTCACTGACATATGCAGTATCTCAGATTAAGAAAATGCAGTGCAAGAACGACAACCTATGCAAACATCAAGTGTATAGTCACATGATGAGAACACTTTAAGACATAAAGTAAATGACCAGATAAATGTCAAAGTGTGTTTGTGGATGCTTTCCCTCCTGTTCCCGTTCACAGATAATTTTGTTCTAATCTCGTTGAGGTACTGACATACATTTTTGTTCATGGATATTTCAGAGTACTTTGCACAAGGCACAGCATGTTACTAAGCAGAGCATCCTCTTAAATGTAAGCACTAGACTTTGTTCTGAAGGGTCTTCATGATAGCCACAGTTCTGATTAATTCTCACTCAGGATGCTGCTGGTTTCCCCAGGGGGCTTTGTACCTCTTAGTCACTGGGGAACAAGTCAGTAAATACTGTGGAAGGGCCCCAAAACTGTTGCAAATGACAAAGGTGTCAGGAGACTTTACATCATCTACTATACTGTCATATACACTGAAGGTGTTCCCTGTCATGGCCAGTGGCAAAATATAAGATGACTGGCCTTGAGTATATGAACCTGTCAATACCTCAGCCTCAAATACATACATTGTGGAGTCTATTTCCCACTTATTTTTACCCTTAAGTAGGCTGTGTGGGTTCCTTTGAAAGTAGATGCCAGCTCCGTAATTTTGATCTGGAAAAAGAAAGAAAAATTTTCAGAAGATGACAAAGCATTTAACAATTGGTTCTTTTGGGGTGGTTGTCCTAAGAGACCTCCCCTTGACTGAGTACTACATGTGATGTTACTGCTCAGTGTGTGCCACCCTTTTGGAAGTAAATTTGCCTGAAGTGGCTCTGCTGTTGCACTGATCTCCCACTGAAACCTCGAGCAAGGACAGCTCATGGCTGTTCCCATTCACTGCTACTGCCATGATAACCATTTGGGTTTAGCTGTTAATCCAATGATGGAAACATCAAGGTCTAATGTATTTATAGAAAGTAAATAGATGACTGACACTTCAGTCATCCTGTACAAGAGACTCTGATAAGCACCAAAGCCAGCAAGTTTTTAATAATGCAAACTGAAAAAAAGCTTTGAGATTCATAAGAAGGGTACATAAAAGTGCTGTTACAGTATCATGTGGAAAAGTGCAAAGGAGGTTGGAGTCAGATGGGGGTTGGTCTCTTCTCCCAGGCAACCAGCAGGAGGACAAGAGGGCACAGACTCAAGCTCTGCCAGGGGAGGGTTAGGTTGGATATTAGGAAGAGATTTTTTACAGAGAGAGTGCTCAGGCATTGGAATGTGCTACCCAGGGAGGTGGTGGATTCACCATCCCTGGAGGTTTTCAAGATGAGACTGGATGTGGCACTTAGTGCCATGGTCTAGTGACCACGGTAGGGTTGGACTCGATGATCTTGGAGGTTTTTTCCAACCAGGCTGATTCTATGATTCTATGATTTGTTGCTTTTAAAGTATGGAAATGTGCCATGTACATCGCAGAGACAAAGACAGGAAAACCTCCACTTTTTGAGCAGTTTAGTGCCTGAAATCCCAACTGACAAGGAAAATATGACATCCTTCACCTACTGCAGGATGGACCACTAAATGCTTATTCTTTCTCTTTCTGAAAACATCTGTCTACTACACTGTCTACTACCACACTTTGTAGAGACCACAGCTTTCTTCCAAGTGTACTCTAGTCTGAGTGACAGCTGTGCAGTCAGGTATCTGCTGTCCCTGACCACCCCTGATCTGAGCAGGGGCTGGGCTAGATGACCTTCAGAAGTTCCTTCCAGCCTCGATATTCTGAGATTCCTTTGAACATGTGTTAAAGCACCAAGCTGGTGGGTGTATGTTTGCAGCAGGTAAAGAAGGATGTAGGCTTTCTTTAAAGAGCGATGCAGCAAAATAAAACTTAGACATGGAATTGTGTGTATGCTAATTCTGTCAATAGTGTTTGGGCTAGGCTTGAATCCAGGCTTATCCTCCCAGAGCCTTACTGGCTATACAGTATCAGGAAGGAAAACCTTACTGTAGATCATAAAGTAAGCTGATATGAATCTAAATGCAGGTTAGAAACAGTTCTTGTTTAGAATGCAATCTTTTTTCTGATTTTAACCAAAGCTTAGTTGTCAGTCACTGTTGGTTTTGATTAAAGATGCCAGAGCAAGTTCTTACCTGTTGGTACAGAATACATCCTGTGAAATCCAGTTTGGCAAACCGAGCTACAGAACTGAGCATGAACTTGCTGGTACAACCTGTGGGTTATTTTACCGGTACCTTGTCTTTCTTCTGTTCTTTTTTTCATTTGTTGGAATGCAGCAGATAGAAGAGGATTATGTATCTTTTCAATCTGTAACATAAATAACTGTAGTATGAGCAAATGGAGACCAATATCCACAAAATCCATGAGTGCTCTTGTTCAAGCTATGTTCTTCAATGCAAGAACCTTTGATTTAGCTTACATGCATTGACCACACAGTGGATAAAGTATCTGAGGTGATCCAAAGAAAAAGAACCATATCACTATCCCATGCCTCTCGTTGAAATTAGTGGGAGTATTTCCTAGTGTACCAACTTCCAGTACTTGAGCTGTGCTGAACGGATCGAGTACCAACCATATGTGAGAATAAGCTCCGTGCTATTCTAGTTGTTACAGTCTAGTCTTATAAAGAACTGCAAGTGTCCAGCAAGGTGTGAAGAACCTCAGCTGTCAGGGGCAACTGGGGCCAGGTAAGAGGGTCTGTGCATCACCCGTGTCCCCAGCACTGTGTGCAGTGTGACATTCCACAGAACTGCAGGCTGACTGGCTGTGCTGCAGCTCTGCCTGGCAGGCCTGGCTGCTCCACCAGTGGGCCAGACACAGTCCTGTGGCAAAGGGCAGTGCCAGGGGCCTGCAAGACCTTCTCTCCAGCAGCCCAGTCATGCCAGGCTTAGGACTGCTGAGCTAGACACAAGCAGGTACTTCTGCTCTCTTAAACCATATAACTGAATTACCACTGGTCTCAGCAATGTTCTACATTGTGATGTAGCTTTTGCTGGTTCTGCAGATCAGGAAGCATTTGGTGGGTATTTGCTATTACTCCAATGTTAAATACCTTCCTCGTGTGAAAGGCAGTTGAGCCTGAGGCAGTGAGGTTTCCAGTTACCCACTGTTACTAATGGGCACAAAAATCCCTGTTTACAAATTTCTGTATTTCTCTGTGTTCCACAGCTCATCCTCCTCCAACTCAGTAAAGCTCTAATACCTATGCAAGAGCTTCAGCACATAATGAGATCAGAACTCTGACAAGTTGTTAATTTTTGGTCTCAAGCTCAAAGAAAACAAAGACACTGCATTACTGTCTTGGAATATTGTACTCAATCTACAGTACCAATGTCATATTTCTCTAGAGTCCTATAAAGGAGCATTTGAAGCATGAAATAAGAGGGAGACTATACAGTACATTTTAAAAGACTGCTCAGAATTTAATCACTTTTTTGGAATGATTATCTGCCTTATGTTTAAAACACTTTTTATTAAGAGTAAAGACTGCACCTGGTTTAGGGATCAGGCCTGTTTCATCTTAATTTTAAAAAGCAATATATTGAAATAGTTCATCTGAGTTTTTAAAGCATAAATTAAACATTAATTCCAATATATGAGCTGAGATTCAGTTTTTCCATGAATACTCTCTTTACCTTGTGAACATGAAGTCCAGCTCTGTCAAACTGTTTCTGTCTGTCTTTGAACTCCCGGAGTTGTGGTTCTACCAGCGAAATCTGGATGTAGTTAGCAGTATTTGTCTTGTGAAAGTCTTCCGAAAGCTGATCTGCTTCTGGCTGGCCTAGAAATGAATAAGGGAGTAAAATTTTCATATATCATAATGTCTGAAGCAAAGGCAAGGAGAGATCCAATACTCAATACTCATCCCCTCTACTCTGCTCTCATGAGACC